ACATTAATGTCAATCAGCTGTAAGTATACATATATCCCCTCCCACCCCCTAATCTATGTGGAAGTTAATACATGCATACTCCAAGCTCATAGATGCAGGTTGGTGGGTGCCAGATAGAGGGAGGGAGAAATGGATGGAATTTTTAGAAGTTTAAATAAACTGACTTTTTAAAAAGAATCCTAGAGAGAAAAAAAAAAAAAAAAAAAAAAAAAAAGAGGGATGGGATGCTTCCTCTTGCTCTTGTTGATACGCCTAAAAGGAGAGATTCCTGATCTTTACTGAGAACCAGAGGCTACGTGATTCTAGAAAGGAGAACAAAAGAACCAAGTGGATAATCTGTTTCTGATCAGAAGTTTCTAGGAGATAGCTTTTTTTTGGTAGAGAAGAGTCTAAGCCTTTCTCTATCTTCAAAAAAACCAACAGCTTCAGATTTCTGGGCTTGTCCTAGGGGACTGCAGAGATAGTTTATTTCCTGGATCTTGGTTCAGGGCTGATAGTCTGTGGGAATTCAGCCTCTTTGGGTAAAAATCGTGGTTTAAAGTGTGGCTTGATAGAATGGGTTTCATTTACAGTCTTGGAATAGCTTTGAAAGCAAAGGGAGACAAGCTTATCAGAGGCGTGGGAGACACCCTCTGATTAATTGTCATCGGAGTGTTCTTCCTGAGCGCCTGCTGCACCGGAGGTGTGGCCACTGGGTCTACTCCAAGGGACGGAGGTCTTTGCTGTCTCTTCTCCTGTAGGCGATGATTCCCCTCGTTTCCCTAAAGGTTAAGGCCTCAGGTGAAGTGACTGATTTCTCCCCTAGAATCATGTGTGCACTGGCTCTGGGTGAGTGGGGCATGGCTGTATGTGTGCTCATCCCTCCGTCATGACCGACTCTCTGTGACCCCATGGACTGTAGTCCCCCACCAGGCTCCTCTGTCCATGGGAGTTCCCAGGCAAGGATGCTGGAGTGGGTTGCCATTTCCTCCTCCAGGGTATCTTCCTAACCTAGGGATTGAACCCGAGTCTTCTGCATTGGCAGGTGGGTTCTTTACCACCGAGCCCCCTGGGAAGCACATGGGACATGGTTCAGTTCAGCTCAGTCGCTCAGTCGTGTCCGATTCTCTGAGACCCCATGAATCGCAGCACGCCAGGCCTCCCTGTCCATCACCAACTCCCGGAGTTTACTCAAACTCATGTCCAAAAAGTTAAGGACAAACAGACAACCCGACCAGCAAGCAGACAGAAGATGTTAACAGATATTTTACAAAGGAGAAAATAAATGAGGAACATATCCATCGAGTCGGTGATGCCATCCAGTCATCTCATCCTTTGTCGTCCCCTCTCCTCCTGCCCCCAATCCCTCCCAGCATCAGGGTCTTTCCCAATGAGTCAATTCTTCATGACATGGTTAGTGGATGGTTATATCATGGGTCTGATTATCACTAAGACCCAGTTTTAGACATTCTACTCTACCTCAGACCTCAGGGTGGATTTTAGTTTGGGAAAATAACCCTCAAGGCGCATGCATAATTCATAAGGCCACTTTTCTGTGTGCAGAGGAATGGTCCTCCTGAGAAGGCCCTGAGAATGGGGAGCTGGGGTGTGTCCCCTGGTCTTTGCTGGCACTGGGCCGGATGCCCAGGCCGGGCTGGGCAAGAAGCCTGCACCCTGTCAACACTGCCCCACATGCCAGACACCTCTGAGCTTTGCGGTGTGCATGTGAGTTTCTGTCTGGATGCCCTTCCTTTTTCTCTCAGCCCAGAACCTCCTATATACCCTTTAAGACCCTGTCCAAAGGTCATGTCCGCTTTTCTAATAACCAAATCCTATGGCCCTGATAGAGTCTGTTTTCCCCTCTGTATGTTCCGAAGTGTTCCCACCTGTGCTATAGTGTTTCATTACAGCAGGAACATTACTTCTGAACTTAAAAAAAAATTATTATATTTATTTGTCTGCGCCAGGTCTTAGTTGTGGCATGTGGTAGCTGAAGCATGTGGGATCTGGTTTCCTGATCAGGGATTGAACCTAGGCCCCCTGCTTTGGGAACCCAGAGTCTTAGCCACTGGGCCACCAGGGAATTACCACTTCTGAATGTTTCTGTCTCTCTCACTGGACTGGGAGCTCTTACACCCAAGGCCATGCTTTCTGCTTCTTTGTATCTGCCCCAGAGCTGAGCAATGGGCATGCCAGCTAGAAGTGTTCAGTGGGTCAGCGTCGGTTGAATGAATGAATGCAGTCCAGCCTTTTGGGCCTAATGTAAAGTTATTAAGTGATCAGAAACCACCTTTATAATAATCTCATAAACTTATGAGATTATCTGGTGATCTATGGTTTTCTCCATATAGTATTACGTTCTCCTTTCGCATTTAGAAAATTCTTTTTAAAAATTACCAGTCTGTCTCAATCATGATACGATAACCCCCCACCCCCAAAAGAGGTGACTCCGTGGTTCTACCCCTGCACAGAGCAAGGGCATACTTTCAGGGGTGCGTGTGGAGATGTCACCTGTTCAGGTGAGTGAATCCCAGGAAGAGAGTTGTGACCTGCTCATTTTCATGGTCTTACAGTGAATGAGATGAATTTTTTTTCTGTTGAAAGGTCTCCCCTTAATGGTTGGTGGTTCAGGTGGCAAAAGAGGCCTGGAGGCAGATGGTGTGTCCCTGTGAACACTGGTGTCCCCACGGGCACGTCTTGTTCTAGGCAACTCAATCTGTGGTCGGATGGGGAGGGAGCACTCCGAGCAAATCCACTGATCATGTGACTAGAGTACGTGAAGAGTAATCCTTTTTAAAACGTGAGTTATGGAGCTCTGTGATGAGCCATTTATCTGTGTCTGCTGTGGGAAGGAAGCACGCCAGGGCAAGTTTACGACCTGGTGCTCTCGGCTGTATTTAGGGCTGTTTCCCACACCTTTACTACACATGGATGAAAATATTAAGCACCTAGTGTTGCTTGTTATCAAACATGGAGTAGATATGTGAATACATAGTAAGTAAGCTGCTTAATTTCTAGGTTTCTGTGTGTTTAAACACTCTAATTTTTTGTTTGTTTTGGTCTGAGTGGATTTTTATTTAACTACTTGGTTGTGCTGGATCTTAGTTGCATCGGGTGGGATCTCTAGTTGTGGTGAACTCTGTTGCAGAACGCGGGATCTAGTTCTCTGAGCAGGGACTGAAATCAAGCACTGGGAGTGCAGACAGAGTCTTAGCCACTGGACTACCAGGGATGTCTCTTGTTTTAATATTTAATATCTCATATATGCGAGAAAGGTTTTCTTGGAAGAAAGCTGAACAGCTTTGGAAATTGGAAAACTTCTAGAACTTTAAACCAGGCAGGTGAATTTTAAAGAAGGATAGAAGGGATCGATGCAGTCAGTCATAAATTTGCAAAGCTTCACTAAAAAACGGAAGGAAGGAGTCTTACATTTCTTTTCCCTCCCAGAAAAATGGTGTTGACATAGGGCCACAAACCTTGGCTGAATGGAACCAAATGGCACTATTTGCATTCACACAAAATATTCAATCCCCAGTTTTAAGACTTCAATGTAAAACGAAGAGAGAGAGAGAGAGAGAAAAAAAAACCATTGCCACCAGACATCTTTTAAAAACAATTGGAGCAGCTGTTGTAAGGGCAGATGACCATACTGGTCCCAGGCACTCAAGGTCAAACCTCCCAGAGAACAGTCACCTTTATCGGTCTAAAGACAGCCAATAATTCAGCACCTGCTTCTCTGTCTCACCCACATCTTACTGGCATCCGTACGGCCTGGCACTGGTCTTCACTTGATGTTCAGCAAGTGGGTGGATGCTGCATGTCCACGTGGAAGATATGGTGTTCAGAGGGTGCTTGGTGCAGTGAGAGGCACAGTGTGGGCATCCAAAAAATATGAGGAAATAGGAATGTAAACATGGATGTGACCATCAGGAGGCCTCGGTCTGGTGAGCATGAGCTCTTGGTCCTGCCTCCTTCCTAGGAGGCTGCAGTGGGTTGAAGTTCCCGGGGAGAGGCATGTGTGTGTGTTGGGGAAAGGGGGTGTGGTGTGGGGTGGGGTGGTGTGGTACAGGACCCTCATTAGAGAGGGCTGCATTTCCTCTGTAATTGCTTCCTTTTCCACCACCATCTTCCCTGCTGGGGAGGGCCACTCAGCTGGGGACAAGAGGGACTTTCCTAAGGAAGATTCCATGGTCCCTCCACTTTTCTGCATTCCAATGTAATTTATTTTTTTAATCAGACTTTTGGATAAAATTACACCCTTCCTCTTCCATTATGGCGAACACTTAAAATTACATTTACACAAACTTCTATTAAAAGTCAAATTCCAGGCCTAAGCTATTGGCAACATTCCCTTTCAAAAGAGAATATGAAGTAAATTAGTTGAGCTGATTAAAAACACCTTCATCAAAGTAGAACTGTTGGTGCCAACAATATTAAGAGTTGAATTATTGATTTAAAAAAAAATAACAGATGGTACATTAGCAGGGAAGAAAAACGATTCTCCTTCCTGTCCTTCCTTCCTCTGACGCCCATCCCCCTTTTAGCTTCACTTTGGGGACAAGAAGGGACACTGACCTACTGCTGGCAATCGTGGAAAGGGAGGTGATGGAGCAAGGCAGGGGTGCACGAAGGCAGAGGATGGGGCCCAGGTTAAATGCGAGGAAGGAAAAGAAGTGCAGACCGTAGGGAGCAGAGGTCAGACGCCTGAAGGAGGCCGCTGTCCCCGCGGAGGGGTGGACACCTCTCCCGGGAGCCCGGCCCCGGGGGACCTCCAGGCCACATCCACGAGCCGGGCGGGCGCGGGAAGCGCGCACGAGGGCGCTCCCGCTACCGGCCGCCAGAGGGCGCGTCCGGAGCCGGCGCGGGGCCGGGGAAGGGAGGAGGGGAGCCGCGGAGACGGGTCAGCCGCGGCGGCAGGGGCGGCGGCGGCGGCAGCGGTGCAGCTCCGCTCCCCGCGCGTCTCCCGTCCCCGCGCCCGTATAGGGCGCTCAGCCCCGCCGCCGGGATGCGGCCGCCCGCCCGCCGCGGCCGCCGCCTGGCGCTGCCGACACTGCTCTCGCTGCTCACCTGCTNTCTCACGGACCTGCCTGGGCCCCCCAGGCTGGGGTGTTCACCGGGCACCAGCCCCTTTTACCGGATCCTTGACCAGGAAGGGAGGACCGGGTGCCCGGCTGGGCCTCTGGGTGTCGGTCGGGGCACGGGGGAGGCCGTAGGGAGTCTTCCGAACCCTGCATCTTCTGGGGAGGAATTAGAGAACTCTGCAAACAGTGTTTGTCTGGTGCTGCTGTAATGCCCCTTCCCTTTTTTTGTTCCGTGCTCCTCGCAAGAGCATGCCCCCCCCCCAAAATAATGTGATAAAAGTTAAAAAAAAAATCATTGCAGTTGACTTTCATGGTTGAGGTTTGTTCAAGTTTGAAACCTTGGAGGAAAAATATTCCTATTAGCGTTCTCGGGGTTGTTGTCATCTCAGACTTTTTGTTTCCAGCCTGTTAAGAGGCAGTGATTTCAGATTTTTAGAAATGGCAGAATGGTGCAATTTCGGAAAAGACGTAGCGTCATTGTGCCCTGCTGTTTCGGTAGCCCACCGGAACCTTGGCAGCCGTTTCTATTTGGACTTAAAATTCTCGGAATAAGGACCTTGACTGTGTACCCCTGGCCTGTCTATAGCAGTTCAGTAAGTGTGGGAAAAGCCAGTGAAATTAATTGGTAATTGTTCACACGCGTGATTAAGTAACAATGTAATTAAAAATGTTTGGGCACCTTGGGCAGCGAAGGCTGTAATTGACGGTGGGGGGCGCTACTGAACTTGGCGGGGATCTGCTTTAGCAGAAGAGTGCGCTGCTGGAGTGGGGGGCGCCGGGGGAGGAGGGGAGGTTGGAGGGACTATGAGATTCCCGGCTGCATCAGCTGGCCTGCTGCCTGGACGTTTTGCACCTCACCAAATGGGGTGGGTGGGAGCTGAAATTGGCGTTCTATTTATAGCTCTGCACTTTGTAACCGCTGTACCTGGAATGTAATATTTGTGTGTAATACATTCACTAGAGGGGCTGAAGTGCACACGTGGGTTGCTCTGTGGGTCTGTTTTTCACTGCAGGAAAGGGAATGTCTGCACTTGATAATATATTACCAGACATTCAGAATGAACTAAAATGTCCACACATTCTTAAGAGATGTGTTTTAGCCTTGTGAAGTTGTCAGATAAGCACAATAAATAAGACGTAAAACCTATTAAAAGGTCCCTGTGAGACATTTGGTTTTGTGAAGGGGATTTCATGGGTTGGTACAGACAGGAAGCTGTGTTCTTCCAAATCTGAAGCAAATCATGAGTTCCCTTTGATGTTGTGGAGGGACACGGAGAAATAGAGAGGTGTGTTGCCCAGCCTTCATATGTCTTGAAATCGGGATTCTTGGACTCTTGTTGAAATAGAGAACATGATAGGAGTTCCAGGGTATGTGAACAATTCAGACAGTATAAAAATACCTTAAATATTCCCTGATTAGCGGACCTGACTGTGTACTTTAGTTCTCCCACAAACGTAGTGTATTCATTTAAGCTTTCAGAGAAGTCAACAAGAACATTTATTTTAAACCCAGACATTTTTTTCTTTTCTACAGACAAAAGTCACTGCAACTTCAGTCCTAAAGTCCAGAGCCAAGACTAGACTCAGAAGATGTATTCACGCCTCTGGGTCAGCCCCTATGTGGCTTCTCATTCCTTTGAATCTCAGTTTTTTCCTATAAAATGGGAGGCATAGACTCGATAAAATACTAGAACTTTGCCATCTCTTACAGTGTCAACTGGTTTTCTTGTGGCAGAGTCTATCCGCTATCCCCCAAACCCTTAGTTTTTTCCTGGCTAAACCTCTTAGGGGTCCCCAGTCCCCAGGCCACTGGTACTAGGCTGCACAGCAGGAGATAAATACCTGGTGAACCTACCCCCCCCCCACCCCCACCAGGGAAAAATTGTCTGCTACAAAAGCGGTCCCTGGTGCCAAACAGGTTGGTGACCACTGTCTTAGATAATCAGCAGTATTATAAACAGAGTTTTGTCCTTCAAATACATATATTGAAGCACTGATCCTCAACACGACTGTATTTGGAGATGTGCCTTTAAGGAGGTAATCAAAATGGCTCTGTTGTAAAGAATCCCCCTTCCTAGGCAGGAGATCTGGGTTTCTTCCTGGGTTGGAAAGATTCCCCTGGAGAAGGGAATGGCAACCCACTCCAGTATTTTCCCTGGAGAATCCCATGGACAGAGGAACCTGGTGTGCTACAGCCTGCGGATTCACAAAAAAGTGGGACAGGACTTAGTGATTAAACCACGGCACAAAAAGGTTAAAAGAGGTCATAAGGACAGGGCTAATCTAGTAGGACCCTTTNGATGGTTAGATGGCATCACCGACTCAATGGACATGAGTTTGAGCAAGCTCCAGGAGTTGGTGATGGACAGGGATGCCTGGTGTGCTGCAGTCTGTGGGGTGGCAATCAGACACGACTGAGTCACTGAACTGAGCAGGATAATAATACAGGGGATGAGGGGAAGGGTGGAGGAGTGGTGGCAGTGGCAGCATGTCCAGCAGAAAAACATTTTCAGTAGCCCTTGCAAACAGGGGTAGCTAGTGAGCTGTCTGCAGGGAGCTCTGAGTGCATCTCTTGGTAAAGTTTATTAAAACTGACTGACCCAGCTGCGGTGCAGGCCTTCTGCCATTGTTTCCTCCTCCTCGTTGCCTGTTAACTTGAATCTGATGGCTGGAGCTACAGTGGCCATCTTGTGACCATGAGGTGACCTTGAAAACAGAAGCCAGTAGTTACAATGGTGGAGCAGAAAGGATGGTACCACTTGGGTACCAGGTAGATGCGGAGCACTGTGCCAGCCCACCATTGCCTATTTCCACACACGTATTGCGTGAGATAACAATCTGTCTTGTTTAAGCCTCAATTGTTGGTTTTTGTTTTTTTTTTTTTTTTACTACATGAAGCCAAGCCTAATTCTCATTGTTACATCTGTGAAGAAGCTTATTTGAACCAGTGATAATAGATAGTAACATTTATCTTTCTTATCCCTGTTTCTACTGAGTCAGGATTATATTTCTTAGCACCTGCCAAAATTAGGGGTGATTTTCCACTCTGAGCCAGGTATTGCTTGGATTCTTTTCATGGCAACGAATCAGACACTTTAGGACTCCAAGAGTCACACCTGGCTCCAGGTTGCTTTGTAGTCTTCTGTTTTGGATTTTTAAGCCCTCCTCTTATTTATTCAGCAGTACTCAGATATTACCAGCATAGATTTTAACCGTCTGGGTGGATTCTTTGTTGTTGGACGCCAAGCTGATGTGGCCCCCTTGGTCACCAGCTTGACCCAGGAGTTTGCCTGTAGCCAGTAGTCAGGCTCTTGGGATGCGGGGGTGGAAGCAGACGGAGGCAGAGCAGCTATTTCAATTGGGGGTGGAGGAGGGGAGGAGATGTCCTGACCCTTGTGTTCAGTTCTTCTGAGGGAAACACGGTGGGCCCGGTACTTAAGTCGTAATTACTGACCTCATTTGGACCATTAAGGGCCAGCTTTTTTTGCTTTTCATGAGAAACATTATTTATAACAGTTTACAGATGTTACAGATTTTTGGCTCCTTGGAGCCAGTACCAAGGGCTTCCCTTGTGGCCCAGGTGGTAAAGAACCCGCCTGCCAATGCAGGAGACCTGGGTTTGATCCCTGGGTCAGGAAGAGCCCCTGGAGAAGGAAATGTCAACCCACTCCAGTATTCTTGCCTGGGAAATCCTATGGACAGAGGAGCCTGGTGGGGGACCACAGTCCATAGGGTTGCACAGAGTTGGACACGACTGAAGGGCTGAGCGCATACACACACCTTTCCCCATATAAAGGAGAAGTCACAGTAGGCGTCAGGGATTCATTAGACCTTTTATTGATGGAGAGTCTCCCTTAAGGCCACGTCTCAGAGGTCTGATCACTAAGCTGCTTCCAGAGAAACCAGGTAAGTGCTGATTTGAACTACCAGAACATGTTAATAAGTTTTACGTAGTATTAAAAGGAAAAACTGTACTCAGAGTTTCTTTGTTCGGAAGGTGTTGAGCGTCTAGTATGCGCCAGACGCTGGGGTTGTTGCAGGAAGAACCTGATCTAGCCTGTTTCTACTCTCATGTAGCTCGCAGTCTTGGAAGGGAAGGTGACATTGAACAGGAGCACCAGTCTGCCCAGTGCTGTGGTGTTGTCAGGGCGCTGTGACAAGTGTTTCAGGGTCGTTGTTCCGTCGCTCAGTCGTGTCCGCCTGCCAGACTCCTCTGTCCACGGGATTCTCCAGGCAAGAACACTGGAGTGGGTTGCTGTGTCCTCCTCCAGGGGATCTTCCCCACCCAGGGATCAAACCCACGTCTCTTGTGTCTCCTGCATTGCAGGCGGATTCTTTATCTCTGGGCCACCAAGAACTGATGAGGCTTTACTGGAAGTGTGGAGCTGAGGTTCCCAATGCGGGGTGGGGGTGGTCACCTTGCCCCCCAGGGAATCCTTGTCGATACGGAGAGATTTCAGAACTGTCACAGGGGGTGGTTTGGCAGGGGTGCTGCTGAGCAACCCACAGTGCATGGGGCATCCCCTTCCCCCCTCAAAGAATCAATTTTCCAGTCCAAACCAGCAATAACGCCAGGTTGAGAAGCCCTGAAGTTTCTCAAGGCAGGGCCTTGGAGCTCAGACCTGAAGGGGAAGCAGACAGAGCTTAGCTACCATGGGGAGGAAGGAGGGGCCAGGACAAGGCTCTGGCTGGAGGAAGCTTGTGGAGAAAGGACGGGACTGGACAGGGGAGGGGGCTGGAAGTTCCATGGGGGCCTTGCAGACCAGCGTGGGGATTTTGGACTTGGCCCTTAGAGCGGTGGGGAGCTGTTGCAGCGCTGTCATAGGCAGTGATGTGATTTGACTTGACATGTTAAGCTCAAGCTGGTGGTTCTGTAGAACAGGGATGGGTGGGGGCTGGTGTGGACGTAGGGGACGGACGAGTGAGGAGGCTGCCAGAGTCAACCTGGCAAGAGCTGATTACGAGTCAGAGGTGCGGTGGTTGACTGGTCCAGTGGGCCCAGAGGAGGGCCAAGGATGAGTCACAGGCTCCTGCTCTGAGTGTAGGTGGAGAGCAGAGCTGTTTACTGATACAGGCGCTGATGGAGAAGGACCAGATGTGGTCAAAGGAAAAAATTGTTTTATGGTAGTTAAATATATATATAGCATAAAATGAATCATTTGAACCATTTTTAAGTGTGTAGTTCTGTGGCATGAAGTTACCCAGACGGTTTTCTAAAGTTTGCTTTTAATTTTAGGGGGAGGCAAAGATGAGTTCTGTTTGGACAGGTTGAGTTTGGGGTGCCTGTGAGATGCTTGGGTACCATGTCCAGTAGCAGTGAGATCCACTGACGGTCTGGACCTCAGAGGAGAGGTCCGCATGAGAGAGATTTAAGGGGAAATTTGAGTTCATTTCTTTTTTTTTTTTAAAGAAGAGGGCCTTGATTGACAACATAAACTTATTTAAACATTTATTAATGTTTATGTGTAATGAAACTGGAGAAGCAAACAGGCTTTATCTGTAAAGCTGATCTGATGTAGAGCAGCAGGCTTAACCAATACAAATGAATTGAAGTATCATCAAATAAGATTTGAATGCATCTCAACTATAGCAGCGCCAGTCTCTCCTAGGGATACGACTTACTTTCACTCCTAAAGGAATATTTTATGATCTTACAAGGTGATATGTTTTGGTTTACATCATTGCTTCCCATAAGAAGCTCAAGGCTCTTTACACATCACACTGAATTTATCTTCTCCAGATCCTCGAGGGTGGATAGGCAGGAGCTTGTTTGTCATTTATGAGTTGAAGGAAGCAAAGGAAGATAAATGGCCAAAGCCAGTTGGGGGAAGGAAAAAAAAAAAAAGACAGGTGTTCTGTTCCTTTGAGTGGGTGTCAGACTTCAGCACAATGGGAACACTTCAGGGTCTTAGAGTCTCGTTTGTTAAAATGCAGATTTCTGGGTTCCAGCTGCAGCTTTTTCTGATTCAGGAGAGTCAAGACAAGGCCCCATGGATCTGTGTCTTTAACAAGGCGCCAGGCGAGTTGTGTCTGCTGGCACGTTGCAGAGCCCTGTTGGGACCATCCTGGCCCAGGTGTGAACTGGGACGGTTACTGGTGGTTTCTGTGCCCGTCTGTAGAATGTAAAGGTGGTTGCTGGTTGCTTTGTCTTAAGGTGAAGTAAGGAGCTGTTAATGGGGAAAGCAGAGTGTGGGGGTGAGGCCTGATACTCGGCATTCAGGGGCTCTGCCTTCTTGGGAAGGGACTGAGAGAACCCAGAATTGGAACTCAGAAGGCTTCCTCTGGTTGCGGTATCGTTTGGCAGATTTATAGATGCTACTGGAAGGACTCTAGCACCTGGAGTGTGAGTCTCAAAACCTGGAGCAGTGGGCTGGTGGAGCAAAGGTTTTTGGACTCGAGATGAGTTCCTGGAATGTCTCAGGCTGTGGGTACCATGGATTCAGTGACACTGACGGGTGTGCTTTTGGGGACCCACTTTTTTTGTGTGGCGGTGCTGGGTCTTCATTGCCACACAGGCTTTTCTCTCGTTGGGGGCTCCTCATTATCGTGGTGGCTTCTCTTGTGACCCTTCCCCGGCTTCAGAGCACAGGCTCAGAAGTTGTGGCCCTTGGGCTTATCTGCTCTGCGGCATGTGGGATCTTCCCAGATCAGGGATTGAACCTGTGTCTCCTGCATTGGCCGGAGGATTCTTTACCACTGAGCCACCAGGAAGCCCTGGGACCCACATTTTATATTTCAAAACGAAGGTACTAAAAGTCAGGCATACAACGAGCCTGACGGTTGACTGCTGAATGTCCTCCAGCAGCATAACGGAGTTGGACGGAGCCCTGACTTCTTGTGTTTGCGTGTTTGCTTGCCCGGACCCCCTCCTGGTGTTCTGGGGGGTGGGGGGTGTGCACAGGGTTCTTCTCCCCTCACCCACAACTCCGCCTGTGGACCCTGCTTATGACTTCCTCGCCAAATGCTGTTTGAGTTGGAGTTTGCTTCTTTTCAGATCCTGAGTGGCATATGGGTTTTCATATCATCTGTTTAAATGAGATATGAATCAAAGAAGCAAAAGATCTTTTCCTTCCTAAAATATATAATTCTTTTCTTTTTCTCTTTTCCCCCCGCTCCGTTTATTGTCCCTCCTGTACATATGCTAACCCTCTGGCACGTGGAGTATATTTGTCCTGGCAAATGTTGCTGCCGAGTGAGGGAAAGTATGCGTTCCAGACTCCATTTCCCACTGATTTCTGTGAGGAAACAGGGGACGTGTTTCAGATGGAGTGAGATCCAGTGTGAGCAGCCGGGGGCTCGGGCAGGAGGAAAGCGGGGTCTATGTGCTCTCTACCTTGGGGGAGCCTTGCCTCTCCTGACTTCTTCCAACTGGCTGCATCCTTTGAAAAGGTTGGGAATCCCATGGAACACAGCGAAGAGGTTCCCGACCCTGAATGCCGTGCAGTTCTCTACCTGCTGTGGTGGCGGAATGGCGCTGGCGTCGTCCCCAAAGCAGGGATCTCTTTTCCCGAGAGTTTGCTGTTTGTATTTGGTCCCTGAGCAAAAGTCTAGCTCTCCTCTCCATCCTTCTCGTTGGCTCTTAAGGAGAGGGCTCAGAAAGCCCTTCACACGCTTGCCTTCTTGTCTGCCTGGCCACGCCTTTCTGTCTCCTTGGCAGTTGAGTCCCTGAGATGTTGGGGTTCCCCTGCTCCCATCTTGGGCATCCAGCTGTGTGGCTCTGGTTCCACCACACCGCGCGGAAACTCCGAGTGTGGAAATTTCTCTCGGGCCTCTGCGCTGAGCTGCACTGGGGACCAGGCCGCGAGGGGGGTGTTGCCACTTGAATCCCCTGCAGCATCTCGGGAAGCTGGGAACCACATTGAGTTCTCCCACAGTCTGCTCACTGTCCTTTATCCTGTAGCATCTGAATGGCGCCCCAGGCTACCCCGTCGCTCGGATCCGAAACCCGGAGTCACCCACACTCGTCTCCCTGTCGGCCCTTGCCCGCCCTCATCCGCTCGTGGGGTCCGTCTCCAGACCTGGAGATGCTGCTGCTTTAACACCTCAGCTGCGCTCTGGCTCCCCGCCTGCTGCGCCCAGGAGTCGCCACCNCCCTTGCCTGCCCTCATCCGCTCGTGGGGTCCGTCTCCAGACCTGGAGATGCTGCTGCTTTAACACCTCAGCTGCGCTCTGGCTCCCCGCCTGCTGCGCCCAGGAGTCGCCACCTTCATTAGGTCCCTTGGCTCTCGGGGTCTGGCTCCATCACCCTTCTGGCCGGTGTGTCTGTGTGTGTGGTTTCCCCACAGCCCACCCCACACGCTGCCTCTGGAAACTGGTCTCAGGCACACATCTCAGCATGGCATCCCCCTTCTTAAAAGCCTCAGAAAGCTTTCAGTAGCACTCAGTAAAACCGGACTGACCCCTTTCAGGACATGGCCCAGCCATTCCAGCCGCACCCCGGCCCCAAGCCACACAGCACCCCATGGACGCCGAGGCGTCCGTGCCCAGGTCCTCCTCCGCTCCCCGCAGCGCCCGTGCTCCGGGCTCGCTGCGCTGTTGGACCTGCTTTGTCTGCAGAAGCCTGTTTCCTGGCCTCCTCCTCTTGCGCTTGGCGTCTCTGCGGCCTGGCATTGAACTTGCTGCCCTGCTGG